CATTAATCTTTCTTGAGTAGTACACAAGGACAGTGTAGAATCAGGATATTTACAGATCTGTTGAATGAAAATTTTGACAACACTGGTTGTTACTAGGGATTTTTAACGTGATTTGAATAATAGACGTATTCTCAGATCAGCTAATGCAAGTTTGAGAGATCTTTGTGTGAAATCCTAGTAACAAGAGCATCTGGAATAATTGCTGGTGCAACTGCTGTGCAGTGATAAAAAATAGATATAGTGAAAGAAAACTTCAAGATGTGTAGCAGTATGTGGTTCACAGAAGGCTCAGGTTATTGTTCTGGTAAGTCTACAATGATAAGATGGAACAACTTGAAGTACTGCAAAATGAAAGTTTAAATGCATTCAGAATTTTCCAGTCTCAAACTGTTCATTAATTAAAGCAGCCAATTTCAGACCTGGAGGAAAAATAAAAGCAGAGCCAAAACTTAGCTGGCAGTCATTTGATAGTAAAGCTTGTGGGAGCCAATTACTTACATGGTCCCTAGCATTTGCAAATACCTTTCCTTCTAACTGAAACAACTTTTTGTTTTATTTCAAGCCAAAATGCATGGTTTTTGCAGTCATTAAAAACATGTATAATGAAAGAAAACTTCAGGGTTGTGTAGCTGTATATGGAGAAAGCTTAGTCTTGTTTTGGTGAGGCTATGGTGGTGTGAGATTGTTGGGAACTGTGTGCTGTCTCTTCTAGGTGATCATTACTGCAGCCTAGTCCTGGATGTAGTTTACACAGAGAGACGGTGATTAAAAATGAACCAAACCCTTTATTTCAAAAAAAAAAGCAGAGAAATGAAAGGTATTTGGGAAGCTATAGAATGTTTACCAGGCAATTGTATAATTTTGGGGAAGTTTTTGTATTCCAGTAAAACTTAGCTTCATGGTAATTCCTAAACTTTCAGGCCTATGGATTTGTTAAATAAGGACCACATTTCTGTGTAGAAAAGGAGTAAATCTGTTTTGGCCAACTTGATGCTTAGTAGCGCATTGTGCATAGCTCTGTGATTAGTAGAGGGAACTACATCCATTTCCATTATGGAGCAGCAGATGTTAGAGGAGACTGGGTGGAAAAGGCAAAGACAATAGATTTTATGCCTGCATTCAAGTAATTTGGCTTGAAGCTCTGCTTTGTTTAAAAGACCATTTTAAAAGAAAAATTATAACAACAGAGTGTTTCTTGTAATGTTATTGTATCCTTTTTCAAATCTTCTTTTCAAACAGAGAATATTAAAACATTTAGTTAAATTTTTGTTCTTTTCCTAAATAACTACAAGGCTTAAAGTCAAAATATTTGTATCCAAATTTTCAGTTATATAAGCAATGCTAAAATGAACCATTTACCCAAAGCCTGTTGTCCTAAGGGCTGTATCCTGTTTACAGGTGTAAGCCAGTTTAGTGGGATTTCAGACATGGATTTTCCATGCTGTGTCTTTCCAGATCTACAACTTTGCTCTTCCTTTGTGGATTACGAGAAGTGCCTTTGTATTTGATGTTGGAAAACCTGATATGTGAGCCCTGCATTTTGATTCATGTTAGACTTTGTCTTATTCATCAGCCGGTGCTGTTCTTCCCCTTTGTCTAGAATACTTTCTAGCCTTGTGGACTTGGCATGACTAATGGTCTTCTATAGGAGTTTGTATGTCTTGGTCCATTTCCTCTTCTGAATTCAATTGAAAGAGTAAAGCACCTCTGAGGACAGAGAGAGGGTGGTTGCCTTGTGTCTCTCCTGAGCACCTCTTACAAATGGTGTCAGTGCACTTGCCCTCTGTTGGGGGTAGGTGGCCTCACCCTGAAGGATGGGTTCCATTTGCCAGGAAAGCTGTTTAATGATTTTATGTAGTAGTTTTTCTTTATGTTTAAAAGTATTAAAAATTTAAGTATTAAAGTGTAGAACTTTACATAACAATAAATACTAGGGATGTGATCCCTTCCCTCTGTCCCTCCGAAGTGAACAGAACTCTACTCCAGTTTGATTTTTGTATCTCTATAGCTCATAATTTTTGCTGCCATTGAAGTGCTTAAATTAGTTTTTCAAGTGTCAAACTATTATTTTTGGGTGGGAAGAATTTAGGAAAGCTAGTTAATTGATTTAGAAAATCAATTGATTTCTGGTTGGGTATTTTCTATTATTTAAAGTACATCTGCCAAATCTCCTTATCTGTAGAGAAATTATTTTGCAAAAAGCATAAGACTCTCCTTGGACTAATATTTGGTTGAGTTTTATTTTAAGCTAATGATTTCTGGCTTTCAAGAAATTATCCTCATCTATATAAAAAGACTATGTCATGAATACTGTAGGATATATTTAATCAATTTAGATGGAACAAAAATGATCTGGCAAGACTGATACTTCAAAGGAATCTACAGTTCATCAGGAAAACTTTAACTGATTGTAAATGTGTCCCTTTCTTATGCATGTAAAAGATTTAAAGTATTCTGTGAGCACTGAGGTCTTTTATCCCTTCAGTTGCTTATGGAATACTAATGAAAGTAATGTATGTGCATGATGTGGAAAATATGTTGGCAGACAGATAGATACCTGCAGTGCCTTAAATGCTTTGGCATTGTCTTTATTTAATCAGCACAGTTGATCCCTGCTTCCCCTAGGGGTTTATACTTTCAGAATAAGATCAAAGGTTTATATGAAGATTTAAGCAAAAGTCACCTATTTTAGAGATGAATGAATAGATAAACAGAAGCTTAAAAATAAAACTTAGGCACCCCAGTCTCTAATATAAAATGTCTTGTGGGAGTAATAATTATGGTAGTTATATGTATTTAAAAAATCAGACATCTGACATGTTAAAAGAATAATTTCCTGGAATTAAGTACCTATCTGATTAAACTTTTGTGATTTGTTTTCATGATGCTTTCTAAAAGAGTACCTGTTTTATGTTGTGTCTGTGTGCTTTGCGAAGTTAATAAACTGACTTGGAATTGAAAATGTTCTTTGAGGAATGCAAAAGACAAGCCCCAAGCCTTAAATTAAAGTAACAGTTAAAATATCCCGTACCATTTTTTGGGTATTCTGTCTGCCTTTTTGTGGCACTGATTCTTTGTGTTACCATTTACGTCTGCTTAATATGCTATAGAGCAAGTTGACTGTTTCATTGAAGGCTGATACCAATAAATGTTTAGTGAAATAGAGGAAAAAAGCCTAGAAATATCAACAGATAAATTTAAATTATGATGCGGATATGGTATCCTAATGCTAAATAGGAAATACATAAGTGGAGTGGTTTCAGTAAAACTGCAGGGAAACAGGTGTTTCAAAGCAATTACATAAAATAAGATTGTGATCAGGGGAAAAAAAAAATCTGTCAGCCATGTTTTCTGAATGCTGTTCATGTTTTTATGTTAGAAATTAATTTTGATGTGTTAGTATTTTTTCTCTACTGTATGGCACAATAACAGTTACTTTAAGAAAATTTCACAGTATTTATCAATTGTTGTATTCTTTGCAGCTGATACTATACTAAGTGTTTAGTTGTCAGCTGCTGCTGAAATAGCAGAAATGGACTCTGCGTTTGAAGTATCATCAGCATTTGGGTTCAGTTTGCTGACACACATGTGTAATACCTTAGCTGAAATGTTTCAGTGAACAATATATTTAATTTTCCCCATGACTGATCTTACAGGGGGCAGAGTGAGTTATGTGATTTCTAAGAAAACTGTGAGCTTCAATTCTGTTCTCTGGCAGTGTTGTTTGCATGGACTGGCTTGGCTACACCAGGCCAGTGCTGAGTGTACAGCTGAAACCTGAATATTTGAATTAGTGAAACAGTAGATAGGCCAAAACATGTGGTGGAGAGTTTTCCACAGGACAAGTTTCACAATTTGTTATTAAAAATTATTCCTGCACCTAAGATGTAAATAGTGCTGTCTATTCGTTACTAGTCATCTTCCAGTTTTAATCAGGTAGAATTTGTAAATGCCAGGAAGTTGTGCACTCATTAAAACAGCAACAATTTTTTTTTTTTAAAGTTCATTGAACAGTGTACAATACAATATTTACATTGAAAGTAAATATAGAAATTGAAGCATTTAGATTCAATTTAATTGCTTTGGCACTTCTAAAATAAAATAGGGGTTTTTTTATTTGGGTTTTTTACCTTGGGTATAATTTGATTATATTTGTAAATCCTGCAACACTTAAGTGAATTAGAGAATAAGAGACTCTAACTACTGAGTTTGTAGTTTTCTAAAAAGTGTATCAGAATCATGACTTCATATAAATAAGTTTTTCTCAGTTATTTTCTCACTTTTCTATATTTCATTATGGAATTAAGAGTGAACATTGTAGCTGTGATTTATAATACTTCAATTTCCTGTGACCTTTCACCAGTCAGTTCAGCTAAATGTGTATCAAAATTGTATTTGAAACAGTTACTTGCCTTAATTGTAATAAACTTTTAATTTGTTTTATACAAAATACAAAACAGTGACAAATATCTTTTGTGCCCTGAGTTTCCTGCATGAGTGTTGTTGGTATAAGTAAAGTGTTAGTAATGGTACACAAGACTGCTGTTTTTACTACAAAACTAAGTCACTATTTAGGCAAATCCTAAGGTACAGTATAGTTCCAGTGTCTCTTGCACAGACTTGCAGGATTGTATTACATCAGACAGTAAATGTCATAAGTTTCAGGAGGAATGACTATTCTTCCAAAATGTAAATTAAGGAACCCTTCCCCCTCACTTTTGCAGTTGGTAGATAATAGTGTTAGTATCTGAAGCTGTGCATTCCAGGGAGTAGAATTCAGCCTGAACTACAAAGAGCCCTCATGACTGCTTGCCACAGCATGTTTTTGAAGTCTTTTGTGTAATAGAGACCATTTTAAAAGCATATTTTGTTGATAAAAAAATACAGTAGATCATAAAACAAGAAAGGTGGGCTTGTTTCTAATGTGTGTGAGAACATTCAGTCTTATGAATGTTGATGCTAGACCAAGAAAATACTGATCAATTTAAAATTTGATTTAGTTCTCCTGAAAAAGGTATGGATAAGAACACAGATGAAGAGCAGCCTTCAACTGCCTGTAACCAGTACCCTAAAGAAGCAGTGAAGAAACGTCAGAATTCGGGTCGAGGTTCCGGGAGCAATGATTCGTCCAGGACCTTCAGGAAAAGCTTCAGACTGGACTACAGATTAGAAGAGGATGTAACTAAATCAAAGAGAGGCAAAGATGGGAGATTTGTCAACCCATGGCCAACATGGAAATCACCAACTTTACCAAACATTTTGAAATGGTCCTTCATGGAAAAAAATAACAGCAATGTGCCACGCTCAAAGCAGGTGAATATTTCCATGTTTTTCTTTTGTAATTAAGACTGCTTTTACCTTTGCTCTGATCAATAAAATAGGACAGTTTCTAATTGATACTCATTAGGCATCTTCTAGAGAATTTTCTAAGTCTTACTTTTCTGATTTTATTGGCATTTTATTCTTTTCAAAAGGTGGGTTAATACTTTCTACTTCTTTAATTTTTGTCTCCTTGTTAGTTCCACATGCTTGAATTTATACAGCTCAGTTTATATTTATAAAACAAACAAAACAAATTGGCCCCCTAGCTCAGTCATAAACCAGTTAGTCATTTCTTTCTAATAGGTGTTCCCTTATGAAACATACTATTAACTTAATTTCTGTTGCATGAAATAACTTATTTCATGACATACCTAATTTTTAAAATTTTGCCTTTTTTTTCCAGATGTCAATTGAATACATATGTTGCATATCTTTCATGAAAATGTAATAGTTTCTGTCAGCTACTTAAGAAAATATTTACAAATCTATTTCTTCTGTTTCAGTACACCAGGAGAAAAAATTGCTTATGTTAAAACTAACCTGAGCAAGTATTTGTACTGAAACAAAGTACAGTGCCAGTTGACTGCACTGTTATTTGTTCTTGGTGAAATACTTTTGTCAGATATTATCTTTATGGTCACAGGAGGTATGAAGATGAATAAGTTTTGACAGAATTACTTCTCAGTGCATTTATGATGTGTTGACTGTACTTCAGAAAAGCTGTGCTGAAGATTGCACAACCAAGGACAGTATTTGTTAACAAGCAGGTGTTAATATCTAATGTGAATTACCTGAGAAGGAAGGAATTCTATCAGTTTTATGGACCAGAGGGCCATGTTAGGCATTAACACATGATGGTCAGAGGTTTGGGGATGTTTAAGAAACAAATAATCTTGGCTGTAATCTAATAATGATAATAAATAATTTGACTTAGAAGCACAGCAAACTTATGTTGGTCTTGGGATCCCTTCCAGCAATTTACTTTTCAAGATTTGGTGTCTTGTGGTGACAACAGTTGAGTCAGTGTGTACAGCTTTCTAGGCTGCATTTTTGTGAAATTCACACCTGAACGTTTTCAGTTGCCTTTGACCACTGCCCTACTTGGTATGTGTAGAACAGGCTTCATGTCTTCCCAGTGCCAGTCAGAAACCTGAGTAGTGACTAAAGTCCCTTGAAGGCAGTGCTGAGGTGTACTGTGGAGTGCAGAGCATACAGCACTCTGATGGAGTGCAGAACTGCAGCACTCCCCTTTAATTTACAGTTCATCCCTACAATAAAGGATGATCACAAAGAAATCTACAAGGCACCATTTGGAAAGACGTCTCTGACCCAGTTGGGATTAATTGTGGGCTAATTTTATTTTTTTAGGAAATCTTTGAATTAGGTGCTCGCAATTATTCAGGAGTTTGGTGAAGTAAATCAGAAACAAAAAAAACTAGCTAAGGATCAATGAAATGCACTTTGGGAGTCCTCAGCCATTTTGATGCTTGATTCAACCAGTTTTGTTCTGCTCCTAAATCAGCCTGTGAAGTGCATCTGAGGTTGTTTAAAATTCAGACTAAGGGTTCCATACTTTATTTATAGGTGCTACTTTTCATGTCCTTTGAGCAGACTCCTGCTTCAGTTTCAACATTGAGTGAGCCTAGCGATGCCCTGCTATGCTGGGCAGGTTCAGTTTATCTGTACCAAGTACTTTGTGTATGTAAAAATGAGCATATTAACCAGAATATGTGCTTGTGCTTCACTGTGGAAAAGCTCTATGTATTATAATTGTGCCTGATTATGAGCCTATATCATTATCCAGAATGCATGGACTTCTAGTATTTTCATTATAGGCTTTATTAGTAGCTTTGTTCAGTGCTTTTGGAGGATCTTTAATTATTAGTTGTTGGATCAGCAGTTTAAATTGTTCTCATTTCTGTAAAATCCTGTGGTATTCCAGTATGCACTAAGCACAAAAAATCCAAAGCTAATCAGCTAGTCTTACCAAAGCCTGTCATGTGTTTTTTCTTGCTTTGCATTAGGAGGGAAAGAAGAACGGGTAGGGGGGAAGGGACACAGCAGGAGGAATTTTTGTATTACTTGAGTAATGAAGACAAGACAGTGTTAAGCACATTTTATTTTTGTTGGTAGCTAATTTCACGTAATTGTTGGATTTCAAAAATCTGTTATAATTCTTCTAGTTTCAATATGTTTCTGGGTAGTCTGGCAGAGCAAAATGTATTATAGCGGGATGAAAGTTCCATAAGATACATATTTCATTCATTATATTGCTTTATCCTGCTGTGTGAGTTTAAAGTATTTCATGTGAAGTATACTACTAATAGAATTTGTGTTTGTTAGTATTGCTTACTGCTTTAAAAAGTGATTTTGGTGTACTTTTGTTAAATACTAAACAAAAAACCCAAACAAACTCAACCCCAAGCACAAATCACATACACTGAGAAGTAAGTATTTTGATGTGATTTACCATCACAGCTCAGCAACATGCCTGGTTTCTGATCTCATCCTCTGAGGAGTCATTGATTTGAATTAGAGGCCTGTGTATCACAAACCTGGAGAGCACAAGCTCTGTACCAGGTCCACAAGTTGCACTGCCTTTGCGCTCTTGGTTTGTCTTGAATTTTTGCTCATGAAATTTCATTTAAATAGGACAGGATAGCAGTTGTTTGGACTGTGCTATTTTCTATCAATCTTTCTTTATGTGTGACTTTTACAAATGCCTTTTATTGTAATTAGTTCTACCTTTCAACCAACTGTTCTAAATACTTGATAACATCAATCCCGGTGACATCCTTGTAAAGTCTTTATTAGTAGTGCAGATGTGTTGTGGCTTTAGGCAGCCAAGTCCCAGTCAGCTGCTCACTTCCACCCCCCACTGCTTGCACCCCAGTGAAATTGAAAGGGGAAAAAATCAGATAACTGGTGAGTTGAGGTAAAGACAGTTCAATAGGTAAAGCAAAAAGTGCATGCACGAGCCAACTAAGAAATTTATTCTCTTTGCATGGGCAGGCAAGCGTTCAGCCATCCCCAGAAGAGCAGGGCTGCATCCCATGTAACAGTTACTAGGGAAGACAAGCACCATTTGCTCTGAATGTGCTCCAGCTTCTCCTTCTTACCCTAGATTTTACTGCTGGGTGCGGTGTCATATGGTATGCAATATCTCTCTGATGGGTTGGGGTCAGCTGTCCCAACTGTGTCCCTCCCAGCTTCTTGTGTGCCCCAATCAACTGGTTGAAATGCTATGTGAGCACTGCTCAGCAAGAGCTAAAACATCAGTCTGCCCTCAGGACTGTTTTCAGCACAAACCCAACACATAGCACTGTAGGTGCTACTGGGAAGAAAATTATCTGTACCCAAGGTAAAACTTGGTAAACTGTTTCTGAGTCCCACTTAAGAACTAATTTTCACTTCTGCCAATTGGCCAGTTTCTCATCCATTTAATATTGTTTATTAATATTGCATAATGCTAATAAAAGCTAATTTGTGCCAAATATCAGCAAAAATAAGTGAATTAATTTTGTTCTGAGAAAATTTCTATTTTAACTCTAAAACCAGCTACTTACAAAGAATATTTTTTCATAAAATATATACTGACTTAAATTGCATTATGACAATTTATTAAGTTCCACATCTGAGTTTTATTTCTTTGATATAGTCTGATTTGTTGACTTAACCATATGTAATTTGTTGGTTTGTTGTAATTTCAGTTTTTGAGTATTATGTTAGTTTTGTGTATATTTATTTTTTTTTAATTGAAGTGTCACAGTATAACACTTCTGTGGTTCAAATTTCTGTGGCCAGTGTTGTTCCCATGTACTTAGAATGAAATAGAGATAAGAAAATGATTCTTCTTTCTTGGAGAAGCAGCCATTTATCTCAGTCTAAGACTACTACTTTTCTTGTATGAACTAAGGGGTTGTATTGTATTAACATTATAATCAGCTTTATAGAAGGTTATCTATTTCTCATTCCTGCAGACAGTAATGAAACTTCTTCAGTAAATGTGTCTTGTCCATTAGCTCTCAGAAAAAGAAATTTCATTAATATTTTATTATTTATAGCAGAATTGCAGGGGGATGGAGATGTGCGTGCTTTGTTTTTCCCAACATATGCCTTCCAAATCAATAAAATATTGTGGAGAAAGTAACTTCCCTGAAGCTGTCAGGACTGGTTTAGCAAGGCAGCTCCTGGAATTCTAAACTGTCACAGCATCAGCTGGACTTCTAAAGGAGCACAAGGTCAGCTCTGTATAAACTCACTGATAGAGCTAATCTGTGCTAGGCTCAGAGATTGAGAGCAGCAACCATGGCAGGCAGAACTTGACTTGGAACCAGAAGGGCTGGGACATTTGTGATCACAAGGGAGAGGAGTGCCAGGAGACTAGAAGCTGTTCTAGCACGTGAAAATTCTTCTGAGGCAGAGTGAGTTCACACCAGAATTGTTTGGGAGGAGAGCCTTAGCCACATTGTGGCCAAGCTGGAGATGGTCAGGAATTCTGAGAAGACTTTTTAGTAGGTCTAGACTTCTTAGAAGACTTTTTCCTATTAAAAAAAAGCCTTTTTTAATAGGAAAGCTCTTATTTATTACACATAAAACTTCTGCATTAGCACTTCAACCAAACTGCAGTGAAGGGCATAACTGATTCAAAATGAGAAAATGAGTGGCTGTTGGCAGTGAGTTTCAGTGGTAATGTACAGCCATGGCCTCCTTTGTGCCAGCTTGAGGATACACACAAAGTCAACTTAGACCAAATCAAAATGAGAGCTCTGTATTTTTACCTCTGGATTAGTATTCAGCCAGATCAGTTCTCTGACCTGTCATACTCAAGTAGTGACTGCAAAACTTATCAAGCTGGAATAAGAGAGGAGGTGAGGGAACCTTTTCATAACCAAACATATCTAAGGAGCTTAAAGTTTATCTTAAAAATTATTTTGTTTTTTATGTACATTCATTAAATTATTGGCAGGATGGGAAGGTGGAATTGTAATAGCTAACATGAGCCAAGTGAGATTAACCTTTGTGTGCTGCTTCTAGATGTAATGAGGACAGAGAGAGGGCCTGATAAAAGCCAGAAGAGTTTTTGTGGAGTGTGGCTGGGGAACATGGTGTTTTCTTTCATATGTGACTTACTTGTGCTAGGTCTTAAGAGGATGCATCATTTAGTTGCATAAGCTAAACTTGAGTATTTGTTAAGTAGCTCTGTGTGCGCGTGTATACATATTCTTTTCCAGGTGGAGGAATCCCTTCCTGGGATGTTGTTAGTGCCTTGCAGTGCTTTCATTGCAATGCCCCCAGACTCTATTAGGTCTCCTGGCCTGATGGGGTACTCTTTTCTTTCTTGACAGAGAAGTGTAAATGTTGGAAAAACCTAAAATGAAATTAGGAGGAAGTAGCTGGGAAAATGGACATTGAAAAGGCATCTCATGTGTGCTGCAGTTCTCTGCATAAAAACATAAAAAAAGTACAAGTCTTGACTGTATTGATTTGTGCTTTGTATGCAGTTTTTGTTCCATGGCCAAGTACATTCTGAAATCTCTCATGCATATTATGTTCTTTTTTGCCAGGAACTTGACAAAGAACTTCCAGTGTTACAACCTTACTTTGTTCAAACGCCAGAAGATGCTGGGAAAACAGGAGCTGGTATGCGAGTCACGTGGCTGGGACATGCCACGGTTATGGTGGAAATGGATGAACTTGTATTTCTTACTGACCCAATCTTCAGCCAGAGAGCTTCCCCTATTCAACTGTTGGGTCCCAAGCGCTTCCGAGGGCCTCCATGCACAGTAGCGCAGCTCCCCAAGATAGATGCGGTGTTGATCAGCCACACCCACTACGATCATCTGGACTACAACAGCGTGGCGAGTCTGAACGAACGCTTTGGGAGTGAGCTGCGCTGGTTTGTGCCTCTGGGGCTCCTGCAGTGGATGCAGAGATGTGGTTGTGAGAATGTGATTGAACTGGATTGGTGGGAGGAGAACTGTGTCCCTGGTCATGATGCGGTAACTTTTGTCTTCACCCCTTCCCAGCATTGGTGCAAAAGGACTGTGACAGATGATAACAAGGTTCTCTGGGGCAGCTGGTCTGTCCTGGGACCTTGGAATAGGTTTTTCTTTGCAGGAGATACTGGATATTGTTTTGCTTTTGAACAAATAGGTAAAAGGTTTGGACCTTTCGATCTTGCAGCCATCCCCATTGGAGCTTATGAGCCAAGGTAGGAAAATCAGAGTTTGAACAAAATATGTAAATGAAATTATATACTGATGACAAAAAATTACATCCAGAAGTTAAAATTGTGCACTTTGTTAAAAAGTATGTGTATGTGTTTTTGGAGAGTGTTTTTCTTCAGACTTAGGGACAGCAAGGATGAATCAGCAGTCTTTCTTCCCTTAAAAATGTTGAGTAAAAATCTGGAATTAGTCTGTGCTTTTTTTTCTGAAACAGCATCATTGAATCCAGCCCAGTCCAGTGTATATCACTTGCTGCATTTTTCTCTTGCTTCAGTCTTTATCCTGGTTTTGCAACTTACCTGGAGACAAAGAGGACTTATAGAGTATGAAAGATCTGTTTGCTCAGGAGAGCAAACTTTTCTCATTTTGGAGAAAATGTTTAAATGATAGTACTCATATAATGCTGGAATGAAGGCACTTATGGCTGGGAAAAAGAGATGGGAATCCAAATAGCATGGTAAAGTTTTGGTATCTCTCAAGAATTTCCAAGTTCTCTCTTCTGTTTTGCTTGTTCCCTTGGGCTATCTCTGAAGCACACTTTTTTGGTGTGTACTGCTAGCACAAAAATTTTTCAGAGATGGATTTAAGGTTTTGGCTTTAATGCCTTAAGGCACTGGTGTAATATGTTCTTAACCTATTGAAAACAAAGATAAGAAAAAATCCTTCAAAAAGAGAGTACAGTAAATGAACTGCTGTTTGAAGGGTATGTTGGTATATGATAAGGGTATGTTAGTTTCCTGATCTGTGTTCTGTATGTTGTCCAGTATCTGTATGTTGTGCACACTTACGATTTTTTTTATTAGGTGAGCATATATTTCTTTTTGTTCTTTGCAATGGAAGTAAAGGAGAAATCTTGCACTGAATTAGGTGACACAAAAAAGTGGTTCTTTGTTCTGGTAGGTGGTTTATGAAATACCAGCATGTGGATCCTGAAGAAGCAGTAAGAATCCATATTGATGTTCAAGCAAAGAAGTCTGTAGCAATTCACTGGGGGACCTTTGCTTTAGCAAATGAGGTAAATTGCAACACTAAACATGAGTTCAGATTTCCAAGGATTAGACAGTCATTAGTGAAGCTTTTCTTGTGCAATTTAACCTACATATCTGTAAATGTAAACTTAAAATGTGAACTTTGTATGAGTGAAAAGTTCTCTATATACTGCTGTTCAAAACAATGCTTAGCTTTTCATAATCAATTACATAAAATATTTCCATGACTAAGAAAGTACAGAGTTATTGAAGCAAATGTGGAGGATTTCTGATACCCAGGTGCTGAGGAACAAAACAGATGAGGACACATGCAGTATTATACAGTGTTATGCTTTACATTATGCAGTAATAAAAACAAACTGAATGGTGTATCACTCGGAGACAGTAAGAACTGCATGCCTGTACCTCAATACAGTATTTCTTAATTACGTCAATCTAGTAAATATATAAACAGTATTTTTAACAGTTGATTCAAAGATAAAACCAGAAAGGATATGAAAAAAAATTGAGTTATTCTGAGTGTTTGAGGTTTTTTTTAATGTTTTATTCCCCTCTATGCCCCCCCCGCCAAGTCCACGATCCTATTAGTCCAAGATCTAATAACAAGGTTATTCAGATACCTACACAGCAACTAAAAATGCAGTGAATAGGAAGTAACTACATTTGCTTTGATATTGTCTGGTAGCTGTTTTTCAACTTCGTTTTTGCATTAGTTGCACCACTTTATCGCCTAATTCATTCCTGATAGTGTCATCACCTGATCTGTCAAATGTTCTGTCCCGTCTAGGCTCCCTCCCTACTCATCGTGCGCCTCCGTGGCAGAGCATGGAGGGAACATAGGGCTCTTGGATAAAACATTTCCCGTCCCCAGAGTATGCAATAAATTGTGTTACTAGTGCCTGCGGCACAAATGTTACTGTGTATTTAAGAGCACAAAAATAGATTACTGCTGCTTGACGATGCCTTTGGGAAATGTAACAAATACACCGCGGTAACTTGAAGGAGCCGCACTGCCGGAGCCGAGTGTTCGGACGGGAGCGCTGACAGGGTGGGTTTGCAGAGCGAGAGAAAGCGCCAGCTGCTGGCGGCCAGCGCTTCCTCCGAAGGGATCTATTGCTGCCTTGAAGGCGACCGAGTTCGGGCTGACGGGTTGAGCCTTGCTAGTTACTCTGGAGCTGTAAATCAGCGTTCTTATCGTTCAAAAACTTAAAATGAACCCAAACATTTTAATTTAGTAATAAATACCCTTCTCCTTCCCCCGTTTTTTAGAGAAGTGATTTTCTTTTCCCCTAAAAAATGTTGCAGTGGTAACTTTCCCCTCATATTATTCTCATTTTTTTCAGTATTACTTGGATCCTCCGGTTAAATTGAATGAAGCTCTGGAAAGATATGGCTTGAAAAAGGATGACTTCTTTCTCTTACGTCATGGAGAATCACGGAATTTGAATACAAATGACCGTTTTGAAAACTGAAACAGTGTCAGTTCCTTGTAAGCCCTGTTTGATTTGAACTAGCAATTAATGTTACATACTAACATAATGTATGTACACAGTAGATTTTTTTAGATTGAATTGGATTTCTAAATGCCAGGTTTGTCAGTTTCAGAACTAAATCTTGCATACCAATTTCATGACAAATTTTACTAGTTATATTGTTTATAAATTTAGAGAGGTGATCTAAAAGTGGTTTATATATGTGTTGTCTGGGAATAACATGCTCTGATGTACACCACTGAAAAAAAAAGTTATTTTTAAACTCTTCTTACCTGCAGCAGCAATAATACCTTCAGCACAGAACATATTCTTAGGATTAATGGCTGACTTAAATTATTCATTGTTAGACTGTCATCTCCTACTTGTTAGTCTTCAGGTTATGCCCTGTACTTAGATAGCGTCACTGTATGTTTTGTGGGGTGAAGTCTTCCAATACAGCTGTGTTGTTAAAGCACAAGCATGGTAAAATTGTTTCACTCTTCATATTCATGTATTGATGAACCACAAAAGCTGAATTTTACATCAAAGAAAATGTGCCTTTTAAAGAGAGATAATTTAATAATGCATCATGGATGTGTAAAACTAACTGCTGGCCAGAGTATCTGCACACTTCTATTGTTTTGTCTATTTTTAAGTTAGGTCTGAATGTGTCAATTGTAGCACATGAAGTGGAAAAATATCCTAATGTCACTTGTCCTTGCATATACTCAGCCTTTTTCTAAGTACCCTTCTTTTTTTTTTTTTCTTTTTTTTTTTTCCCCCAGTAGAAAGTCTTAAGCAAGGGCTGTGGTATTTTTTCTAATAGCTTCCCTATAATTTTCAAACTGAATGAGAGATTACAGCATTGTTCAGTGTTATAAAACTTGGCCAAATGTATCTGTATCAAATTGTCTTGCTAATTTACAGAATTAAAGCCTACTGTTGCCAATAAAAAGGATTGTTATTCTCCTTCATAATTTCATTGGCAAATCATGTTTTGTTTATGATTTCTTTGGTCAGTAGGATATGTGGGTTGGTTTGAAGTTTGTTTATTTTTTTCTCTTGCTGTACATTTTATTTTCATATCCCATAAAGGTAAATATATATAAAAAGGTACACTATTTAAAGACGTTAACTTCTGGCGACTAATCAAAACCAGTTAATGAGATTTCATGGTAGGAACAACTGAGGTAATCTTTCAACTGTAGACAGTTATCAAAAGTGGTTTAAAACTACCCTGTGATTCAGTGTAGAGGGTCTTTCAGGTGAAGTCCTTTGTATTTTCACAACAGCTTCAATTACAACTTGGGTGATACAATGTATGTTACCTATATGTAATTTTGTGGAGGACACCAAGCTGCAAGGTGTGCCGAGTACTTTGAAGGACAAGTTTTAATGAGGTTGATTTTGTTGTGGGTTGTTTTCTTTTCCTGTATTAATCATCATCAATAGGTTATTCTGTAAAATGATATACTTTAGAAAGAGTGAAACTAAAACACAGAATACCTAGATAAGCAGTCACAGAGCAGAGAAATACTGGCTTACATGGATCAGAAACTCAATGTCAGTAATGACATGTTTTGTTTTCGATATGTTAATTCACAACATTTGTACCTAGAATGGTGACCGTTATGTTTTGCTTGGTGCTGATAAGATTCCACCAAGGGTGTGGGGTAAGTGATAAAAAATGAGACCTCTTTGCATAAAAGTACATTGGAAAGTTTTGCATGATTTCAAAACATCTCAAGAGCTCTGTTAAGAAAGCATTTAAAAATAGTTCTTTCTAGACCAGAAAAAGAAAACTGAGACAATACTGTAGCAAGTTCTCATGTATTTTTAGAAAAGGTCACTTGTTTCTGTCAGCTGTCAAAGCAACAGATAAGAGATCAACTCTATCAAAAAAGATGATATTTGAAAAACTTATTTTTAGGTTGGAGAACACAGAAAGTGGCATCTAGATATCTCTGTTGATCTTAAGAAACCATGTATCAGCTATACCTAGAACAAATTGGTCCTAGTGTCTTGTCAGGAGAGTAGTTAAATTCTTAGTGTCTGGCCTAGTCTTTAATTTTTTTAGTCAAATTCAGTAGCAGAAAATATTAAATCTACAAAAAGTTGCAAAACATTAAGTGATCGTAATGTAACTTGCTTATTACAAACTGTACAGTGTTTTAGGAGCAGTGGGAAGGCGAAAAGGAAGTTCACTGTCAATGCAGCAATTGTCAAGTTTCTGCTGGGAATCATGCCAACTTCTATTTCTGCCTTAACTGTATTCCTGGTGAGTTAAAACTACCTATGTGGATAAATTAGATACATGTAGCTGTATCTAATACCCCTGTATTGATCCAGGGCATGGGTGTGTCACAGTTTCAAGGTCATATTTTTCTTGCAGTTTTAGCTATTTGCAAAGTGACCTTCTGAAAATAAGTATCTATTGCATTACAGAAGGAGAATATAGCAATGTTTTCTGAAGAGCAGTGTGAGTTTAATAAATAAGAAAGATGAAGCACTTGGAAACAGTTTAGGTGATACAGTTCTCTTAAAAATGAAACAAAGAGGAAAACTATCCTAGCCTTTACATCTGATACCATTTTAGTTTCTCTGTAGTGGAAGTTTTCAGTTGTTTGGTTTTCGAAGTATTTTCCAGTATGTTTTCTGTTCATCAGTGAAACTCTGTTCAGGTTCTTTTACAGTGATGTTTGTATGGATTCCACTTCATTTTGAATTAGTGCTGGATTGATGACTAAAACTTTATGGGGGCTAATTCTGCAGAAGCACTCATTCCAATGATGCTCCAGTTGCAAAAAAAAAAAAGAAAGAGGAGTAAATATCTCCAAGGAAAGGAAACTCAAGGGCTGCTACAGAATTAGAAGCTTTTTTGAAAATGTGTATGATACTGCTCTTGTAGAATTTTTTTTTATAATAATGAGAATGCTGAATTGTAGTTGCAGATAATCCTTGACTCCTAATAAAATATTTTTAAAAATATATCTGCTTTCCCTAAAGTGACAATTTTAAAGCAATATAAAAAGCTATCAATTTTTTGTTCAAGTGTACAAACTTTTCACAGTTGTGATTAACTGCACTGTAGTTTAGCTAAATGGAAGAGATATACTAAGCATACAAGAATGAAGTTTTATAATAAATTCCTTGCAGGAAAGATGAAAAAACCTAGGTTTGGTGACTTAAGTATGCAGCTTTCATTGAAGATACAAATTCTGTAGGAAGCCAATGATAGTTTGGTATTGTTCTTTATTTAATATTATTTTGTAAGTTTGGCTGTACCTTTTCATAGACTAATAAAATATAAATGCCTAATCTCTAATTGCTAAATATTTAATGCACGCTTCTAAAGAGGTATTTCTTCAACAGCTGTAAATACTTTAAAAAAAGACTTTGATATTGCCAAAGATATATACATTCACTTCACTCATCCATTCAAAATGTTCATTTTACATATGAATGTTTTCATGTTTTAAACTGTTTGTCCCCATTGCACAAATGTAGCAACTGTGCAGTGGTTTATTGGTAATAATTAAGCTATTGCTTTTCTCCTGCTTGTAAAAAAAAATCTGTATTAAATACATTGCATTCTCTTTTGCAGTAACTCATTTGTGCCTAGTAAAATGATAGTATTTAGGTTTGGTTTTTTTCCTCCCTTGCATTGTTTACTTGTTGCATGCTTTTATAGCATAGCATTGCTAAGATTAGATATTTTCATCAGGTCATTCTGTTTTAAGAAAACAACACTATTGCATTAATATTCTCACAACTTGTTCTTTCACTTCTGAATCAGGGTGATGCAGCAAAGATGCCAGTCTCTGAGTGAATGGGGCAGAGTCCCTGCAGAGTGTGAAGAAAATTGAGTCTTCACTGTATTCCTCAATGATGGTGCCTTCTTCATCATTCATGTTCTTTTTCAAGTTTGCTGCAAATGCCAGGGCTCGAACTAGAATGTCTCTGTTTATATAGTTGTCAAAAAGTAACAACATTGATGGCACCTAGAATGTTGAAGAAATATTCCACACTTAATCACCAGCAGTAAGTATGTGTAACTAAATCAAATTTCAAAAAATGGAAAAAAATGTGTACCTAAACCAGAAATTGTATGAAATCCCAGGACTTTGTATGCTGTGAACTCCTGTCAGAAATTTGTGCAGTGTGCAAATGTTCTCTCTAGAAAAGACTGGCCTATGAATCAATGGACTAATAACAGCTTTGTATTTTCAATCTCCAAAATGTGGCTGTCTGGAAAACTCCCACTTGGAAGAGAAGGTCTGCTTCTCAGCCACATTGATTTTTGTCCTGAATGTTTTTGTAGCATATCTGATAAATGAAAAAATAATATGCTTAACAGAGAACTGAATATTTAGCTACCCGAAATTTGTTTGAATAATGAAAAGACAGCATTATCTAGACTAACTTTGCTCATGGTAGATAGCTCACAAATACAACATTGCATGCTTTGAGAAAGTTACTTTAGGGAGAGAGACGAGGATGCAGCACCATTCCAGCCCCAACTGTTTTGGTGTGAGGAAATGAAACTAAAAGAAACCTATGTGCCAAGGCCAGCACAGAAAATGTCACACAAATTTGTCCATGAAAAAATAAGTAAATGCACAGGGAAAGTTCACTTAGAGGCAACAGTTTTATGGCTGCATTTGAATAAAGGGGTGGGGATTCCAGTGGAATTGGGCTGGGTTTGGTCTAGTACATTGGCTATAGAAACAGAAATTGAGAAGGATCACTTACAGTATTGTTCTATTTAATGGTTTTCAATCTATATAATGACTGTATGTCTGGAAATGGAAGGTTAGAACAGGCTTCTGCAAGTTATCATTGATTATTTGGAATGGTACACAAGAAGTACAACCAACTATATCCAAGTGCACAGGCCCCATGCCTCTCCCTTTGTAAGCATGGTATCTGTACTACACTGCTCTCTGGAATAAAGCCAGCCCATGAAAGAATGTGCAGTTAGGTACCAATTTTAACCAATCAGTGTCTAGAATTTGTTCTGGAATTGCATATGTATTTCTAATACACTATAATTCTTCTAGTGCATGCAATATCTAAATTGCTACACATGTATATATGCTAAAAATAAAACAAAGCAACAAGAACCTTACTTGAGCTCTGAGAAGATGTCTTGTCATGGCTGGGTTTGCAGATAAGTTCACAAGTACTTTCAAAACATGAATCTGAAGTGAGGAATGTACAAGTTCATTAAAAGATCCAAAACAGTAAGTATAGCTGTAATGGGCATCAATAATGTCAAAGCTGACTTGGGGAGGAAGAGGTAGAATGGGTTAGTTAATGTCTTGAGTATTTTGGTATAGAGAAAACTAAGGTATGGACATGTTAGAAGCAAATTCAGATTGACTTAAACATCAAAATAAGGCAAGACCTGTAAACAAATCTCAGTAGGCAAAATGCAGAGTATTTTTAAAATACAAAGAAGATGGTTAAGGACTACATTTAAAATTATCTGAAGCATATTCAAATACATCTTTGTGCTTTCTTGGGCCTTGTGATGCTAGTCTTTAAACACTAGGAAAAGGCCATATTACTTCATATACTTAAGTACAGTAGGTGTTGTTATGTCTAGTGGAAATGTGTGTTTTGGAAAACTGGTTTTGATCTGATAGAGCAACCACATACACTGATGGTACCACAGTGAATGAAAACTTGAATGAAAGCAGTAGTTTGGTCCCTGACTGAAGCTTGTTTCAGTATTACAATAATTCACAAATAAGCATGATTTCCAGTTGCAGTCACTAAGGTTGCCAGAGGTGTCATAAGGTGTATAAGGGAACAAAAGTCCATAACAGAATCACTGCTTGGCTAGTTTTCCAACAGAGATTCGTGCATCAGTAAAGCCTTCCCATGCACGCTCTCCTTGCTCTGTGATGCAGTAGCAATGTCTTGAGCAGAAGAGAATTCTGGAGTTGCTATGGCAAAGGCACAGGGCAATCACAGTGCACCCTGCACTGCTTTGCTAGGGCTACAGTCTGATGGTTCCACTACCAAGATTCTGTTCCCTCCCCCCTTTTTGAATTTATATTGTGAAGCTAATACAGATCTATATTTTACTGCATAAAATCTGTATCATTAATGAATATTTGGGTTTTTTCTTAGCAAAATCTAAACCATTTTACCAAAATGGTAAGAAATAGGGCAAGTAAAGCAGCTTCATAAATGGCTTCATAAATAACACTACCCAGTACCTGTGTCCTTTCAGCTCCTTCTGAAAGCAAATGAAGAAAGCATGGAATTGAATTTATCATCTTTTGGTGGTAGTCACTGGTAACAGACATATTTGTCAGCAGCCTGAGTCCAGCTAGCTGCACATCAGAGTTCAGGGGAGCTGACTCAACAGTCCTACAAACTTGTGCAATAAATACCTGGGGAAAGGGGAGAGGAAATAGAGAACAGTTTTTGATAAAAGCATATTTTCTGTCACAAATAGTATCAATGGCCTAGCTACAGTTACATAAATACTTGCTAAACATTGCTGGCTGAATGGTGAAGGTTCTTGGAAATGAGTACTTTTTTGTTTTGACTATTTCAAACATTCTAGTGGCAGGACAGAAGCAGACCCCACACAGCATTATGCTCTCTAGTCTTCCTGAAACATAACTTGCTCTGAAAACTTAAATTGCTTTGGCTCCATCTCAGAAGTGACTCTCAGAAATTCAGAAGTTGTTTTAAAAGTCACTTATAAGTAACTAACACCTTAAATATTGAGAACAAGCTAAGGACAAGCTTTGAAATTAAATCCTTTCTCCCAACAATGTGGCCCTTTTACTGGACTACACTGTAGGACCAGCAATGACAACTGACATTAAACTACTATCTTTACCAATTTTTCTTCTGGATGGCAGTATACAATGAATCTTGGAGTCCTAACAGAAAAAAAAAAAATAATTTTCCCTTACCAAAGGAGTCATTTTCTACTTATACATGTAGACAAATATTGGCAAGCACTACTTAATAAAAACTGCCTATTGCTAAAGATGCTGCAAACTACTACATACAGTCACACTACTTTTTTATCAAGCTACTGAAACAAACTACTAGAAATCTTCAAATCTGTCTCAGTTCACCACTTGGACTATTAATTAATCAGATTTCTTTTTTCTCGATGTTTAGTCTTGTCATATCCATAGCATGTACTGTATTTACCAGTGGAACTTGTTACAATTTATGCACACTTTTCTTTCAAGATGGAGTTATCACCTTAAAAATTGGTCTCATACAAACCCGGAGGCTCAATTACTCTCCTCCCTCAACTAAGGAGTCAATCTGCAATCCATTCTGTTAAACAGCCACTGGTGATGTTCTAGGCAGGTTTGCAAATCATCTTACCTCACACAATTTTGCTACAATGTTAGCAGCACAATCACTGTTTAACAGTATACTGTGAAAGTTGACGCAAACTGCATAAGTTCCTGTGTTTTATTTTAAAAGTAAATGCCAGTGAAGCAATGCATTTTAAAGTTATCCCTTCAGTCATCCAGACTGCTGACTTGTATGTCTATTATCAAAGCATTTTGGCATCCTGGCTTGTATTTAACAAATATACTGAAGGACCTGTACTATCTCTTTGCCTCAGTTACTTCAGTTTTTCCCATTAAGAATCTTACCTGTATCTCTTCCTGATTTTTAATATTCATACTCAAATTGTTAAGTGCATTTAGCACTTTTTCTTTAACTTTGGGAGCGCAGTTGGAAAGCATCCCTCCAATAACAGAAAGACCATCCAAATTTCGGATTATATCCTGAAATATAGAAGATATTTAATAGGATTTTTAAAATTCAATTTAAATGCTGAAGCATTCCCTCAAAGTCTCCATAGTGACAAAAATTAAGTTTGTGAATGAAGAATTCTAGGGCTGACTGCTCTGTGTAAAGAGAGTATTAGCAGATACTGCTTTATTGCTTGTTCTGAAACTAAGAAGGATCTTGTTTAGGAACAAAAAGTATTACTGTTATTTGACAGTAGCACATCAGCAAAGGATGCTTAAAGCATTTTAGATTATAAAGAATAAAAGGAAATTAATGGATAGTGAATTTATAGAACAACTTAGCCAGATCACAGTCCCTAAAATACTGCCTGAATAGGCCAGAATTTCAAGGTGCAGCTTCATATTTTTATAGTAAAGGTTCTGAAACTTTTTTCCATTACACTTGTTTTTATTACTATTTTAATTGTTCTCACTTGAACTATTGAACTTATTCTCACTTGAACAAAGCACTGTTGGGCTTTGGGTTCTGGTTGAATTCTGTTCTATGAGATATATATTAAGAAAGATTATATACTTTGAGAAACCAGAATAGATGGCTGTCATAAGTAGCAAAAAAGGTGGGACCTTGGAGGTTAAACTGTTAAAAAGGCATGAAAATCAGCATCCAGCTCCAGGTTTTTGTGCATTCTATGTCCAAATGATTTGGAGATACTTCTATCTTTGTAAAATTGCTAATGTGCAAACAGCACACAACTTTGTAAGGGATAAAAAATATAGTTTATCTCATAGACTTTTAGATCTGAACCAGAAAGAATTTAACCTAATATTCAGCCCTTTCATTAACATTACATAATTGTAAGCAACAAATGATATATTTACAGTACTTTGGAAGTACAGGACTCTGTACAGACTTTAAGTCGTCCAAACATTATTATTCAATAAATTCTGTGAAACTAGTGAATTACATTACTTGGGCCAGCAGAAATTAAGGCAAGACATTAAATGGATTTTAGAGCACAAGCTATCCTAGCTTCAGTCCTGTGTCAGTCTAGCAAAACATCAGCTCTCCTCTGCCAGACTGGCTGGCATTGGATATTGTTGTTTTCTACAGAACAATACTCACTTGATTTACAGAGAAGGCAGCACTGTTGCTGAGAGTGATTAAAGCTTGCTCTTGAATTAATGGATCATCTGTGGCCTGGAGCAAATGAATAAGTTTCTGTAGAACATCCACATCCATGGTATGAGTTGACACTGGAGGACTGCTATCTGTTAATGTTTAGAAATGAAATTTGTGATACTAAGTTTGAGATATTTCACTTAGGTTGCTACTTAGTGTTTTTTGCAAAGCTGAAATTTGACTCTCAGTTGTAGGACACATTGTTCTAAGGCTGTGCCCAACCATCATGTCATGGTAAAAAGACTGTGTTTTATGACACTAAGATTTCCATCTTTTTCCTGAGTCCTCCAATTACCTCTTTTGAAGGTGGAGAATAAAAGGAGCACACAGTTAGAGGCTGAGGTGCGTTACTTCCTGGTTCCAATAGTAAATTTCCTTGGCAAAATTGTAGTAATATTCACAAATTTGGGGAATATTCACAAAATACTGGTTAGGGTTTTTTTTTTTTTGTGTCCCTGAAATAAAATGTGGAAATCTGTCTTGGCACTGTAGGAAACAAAACTTCCAGTTTACAGACTACTACTTCCAGAAATTATAATCACCCTTTGCTAGTATGCTGAGGTCCTTTGACAAAGTAACAGCCACAATGTTAGGCACACTGCTGATCATGGCATTACTCAAAACGGAAGAAGGCTGCTCCTGAGTAAGGATGATGTAATGGAGTACCTGGCCTTTATAAAAGGGCAACAAATGTCACCAAAGGCTATTTTCAGCCAGGTTGGAAGAAGAAGTGTTTATTCAGCTGAGGAGCTGTGAGACCTGATCTATGACTGTTGGACTAGTCAGAGCTTACTTGAGATGACTCCTGAGAAACTACCAGTGCTTTAAATTCCACAGCTTTACTTCCAACATCTGACCAGGTAAACACCACAGTATTCTTTCGGGGTAAAAAAAACCAAACCAAAAACAACCCAAAAAACCCCAGAGATCAAAGTTAATTATGATGATCCAAGAGCTCACTTCAAAAACAAAATCGTTTTTCATCCTCGTCTAAATATTTCAGTTTAGCTTTGTATTATAGGGGAAACACAAACAACTGCAATAACATAAGTAAACACGATGACCGGACGTACGCTTTGGAGGATTTCTAAAGAAAAAAAAAAAAAGAAAAAAAAGAAATTTGGTTTTCTAAAAATCACGCTCCAGAGCGCTCCAAATGGCTTCGTGGCCTGGAGGGCCGGTACGCAGGACTGTGGCACC